CCCTTTGGGGTACCTGGTAGAGCTATTTAGAAGACAGCAGATTCCTGATTGTTTCTGAAGATGTTACTGTATATTCATTTAGTATTACTGCTGCTTTTTCTCTCAATTTTAAGAATTTTATTTACATTTATTTTGAGCAAAACAAAGGAAAAATGGTATGGTTTACTAACATGTTAGTAAAATGCCTTCTATTTCAAAAGTAGATATTTCTGATTTTTTTTTTCCTGTCAATATGTTATCATTATAATTAGCTTCTTTTCATGGGTATTTCTGAAGAGATATCCAGCTAAAATAAATAATGTGAACAAATTAGCTGATAGATAAGTTATGGTTAATTATAGTATGCTGAGTTTATTGGGTAGCTACTGATGGTATTAAAAAGTTTTGCTTTGCTTTGCTCTTGTATTCAATCAGAAGAAAGAGAAAATCATTAATTTCCTGTGTGTATGACAAATTGATTACACCTAAAAATACTTGAGTACCAGTTTTAATCTTTTTCTCTCTTTTCATTGCACTGTTACATGGACACAAAGTTATACTAAAGGCCATCAGGCTTCTCAAGCTGTTTCTTTTGTGAGTAAACAAGTAATTTTTTCAGGAGATTGGACTAGCAATTTAAGTTCAGTTAAAGTGCCTAGATTTACACATTCTCTCTTCAATTTCCATGTTTTAACCTTGTATCCTCTGTGAAAGGCTTTATTCCAAGCAGCACTGTTCTCTGGAGACCAACAGATTTTTAAAATTCTGTGTTAGTATTAATAATTGAAGATAGTATGGGTAGGATGCTGGTTATGCAGGCCTTCTGCCTGAACTGTAAGGAAGCATTCCTTCTTATCTGTCTACAGGATGCTATCTGTGTTTTAGTAATTGACTTTTATTTTTCACCTAGAAGAGCAGTTGATTCTTACCCAGCCTTAAAGGAAATTCTCAGACTTTGAAACCTTTCCTGTGGAAAACAAGTCTAAAATGTTGTTTCCTGACATGCAAATAAGTGCTGGGAAGTACAGTAAATGTCACAAAGGTATTACTTCAGGACATGGTTGAGTAACTTTGCATAATGAGTCCTACTTCTGATTGTCTAATTAGTTATGCATAGCTGTAGCAATGCAATGCTATGCCTCAAATAGAAATCTTTTGTCATAATTTACTTGATTACATGTGTATGGCTGCTGTATTAAGGTTCCTCTCTTCGTAATGACCAATGCCACAGGCTTCTAATGAATATTACAAGAATTTTTTTAATGCAATTGTATCAGCCCTACACGTGAATTAATCTCTCAATACATAAGTCATCGCATTTGAAATGGGGGTCCTAACGCGACCAAAATTTCCCACTTCAAAGGAAGAATCGTAGTCTTGTCTTCCTTTCAAGTGTTCTTTGGCTTACTGATAAAGCCATAATAACTTCCAAACAAAACTTGAGATAAGTTTGGAGTCATCCTTTTGTTCTTACCAAGTAGCAGTAGTCATCTTCTGTTTGCCTTGATTCCAACTATGAATGACTTTGTTTATTTCTTCGTTGGTCATAAATTTCCACAAAAGTATCAACTGTCACGCTCTGAGGAGTGCCCATGAGTATGATTGCTAACATAGATGGAATAGGAATTCTTTCTGATGCTTACTTTATCCTTAGTAAAGCTGCATAGTAAATGCAAAATCAAAGTTATCCCATTTCATTTCTGGCCTGACATTTATTGGCATATATAAGAAAGAAAAATTAAGAAAAGTAAGCTACATCTAAGGATACTCTTCTTTATTAATTCTGTTGTGCTCCTATCAAGCTCTTTAAACAGAGTCCTGCAGTGTTCTGAAGTGACAGGAGTGAAAATGTTCTCAAGTGACATTGCCTTTTGTCAAGACTTGTTGCCACCACTGAGAAAGATCAGAAATGACTTTCTTCTGAGAGTAAGAAAACCTGAGGGTATTAATGTAATAGTGCTAAGACTTACAACATGCAATCACTTACCAAAAATTTTATGAAGAGCTTTAAAATATTGCACAGGCCAGCCCCTCCCTTTTGGTATGCAAAGTCTATGAAGTTGCCAAAATTAGAAGTGGAGAATATGTTAAAGATATGAAGTTGAGTGCTGTTTTTGAAATTTTTTTTTAAATCTTTTTTTTTAATCAAGTCTCCTAAATTCTCCATGGGACTAAGATCAATTTATCGTTTGTCATATCCAGATGGTAAGTAAATGAAGAGTTTCACTACTGAGCTTGCTATCCAAACTATTTGTAGAAGAATATAAATGAATGCATCACTTACAGTGGCCATATGGCAATTCAGAAGATAAGTTCATGTTCTGGTCATTATACATCTTCTCGTATGTTGCACAAACCTTTTCTGGCTTATTTTGGTGCAACATCTGAAGTAAAAGCCACAGAAGATGAAGTGTGAGTTCGAGGATTTACTTGTTTTAGGGAATTTGAACCAGAGTTCAACTATAGTGTTTCTAGCAGAGCAAAAAATGATGTGTCTGTAGATATTTGTCTGTGGAACCTGGAAACATAATCTAATTAATTGTCAGGAGATGTGTTTTAGGTTATAGCACCTTTCAAAATTAAAAAAAAAAAAAAAAAAGGAAAATGTACTCCTTTTTTTCATATTGATTTATATTCATTTTATTAGCTATAAAACTGGTAACATGTTCTAATATTCATTTAGTTTCTATCTCTACCATCTACCTAAAATCAAGCTGGTTTTCAGTTTTAGAATATTTGTGTTATTAACAATGGTTACAGATATTTTATGAGAAAATATATCAAAAGATGAGTACATCTGTCATACATTCTATTCACTAAGAAGTCTCTGGGTCTTGATGCTATGGGTGAATTTTTATGCTGCCTATTTTTTCACTGATAAAGGAAACAATTATGGATAATTGTTTTTGTAAACTTTAGGAACATATTTTTTCTCGGCTATCTATAAAGATTATGCAAGATTTTTGGGACATGTGAAACAGAACACTTAATTTGAATATATTTATCAACTGTTTAATTTCACATAACTCTTTCAACTGTGGAAAGATGTGTTAAGAGGTAGCTAGGAGCCTGCTGCTATTGGCCTTTCTCATCTGACACTTTTTACAAGATCAGTTGCTTCTGTTGATATGAAAAAATATCAGTTGCTCTGTAGGAGAATGGCTAGTAATGTGTTGGTTTTTTTTCCCTTATATCCTCTGCATAAAAAAAAGCATGCTAGAATTCATTGTAAAAATGGAATTGGAAGTTCTAACCTACTTGGAGCTCAGACCCAACGTTCGTAGAACAAAGTGTGAGATTTTTAAAGTTACTGTTTAATGATAATGTGACAGAACTTCCGGAGAACTGTAGAAGATGTCTGAAGCAATTTAATTTAAATCAAAAGCTATTTACCACAGGTTGTTTGTTTTCTGGAGTGCAAGATAACAGTCCTGTAGCAAGTACTTGAGAAAATCATCCTTCATTATATGCATCTTTCAAAGGGAAAATTACATAAGCAGCTGTCTAATCACTTCCTACCTTGATTGTGATTTATTTACTTACATACCTGCAGTAATTTATATACTAGAAGATTTGAGCCTTTTTTGTAGCAAAATTGATGAGTGCATATATAATATAAAAAGTTTTAAACTGAAAAAGGATGATGTTTAAAAGACCAAAAATTTAAAAAAACATGTAATTTTTCTCTGCATATATATCCAAATGTCAGACTCTTTGTGAAAGTACCAAAGGCCCCAAGAAGAAATTTTTGAAATTTTTTTTAATATATAGTTCTGAAATCACTTTAATAACTTCCAAATTCTGTTCTTCTGTTTTTATAATGTCTCTATCTCCCTTCTGACTGTACTCCATTTCTTCCCACATAATTTCTAATTGTCTGAACCACATGGCATATTCAGAATTCAGCCATTTGTGTAAGTAAGCAAGCATTTCAGATAATTACTACCTTTTTCCTCTTCCGGCTTCTTTCAGAAGCTCTACATTCTTTATAACTGTAGTAAAATTTATTTCTAGGCCAATGACAGATTTAAGAGCTAATATATTACTATATTAAATGTACTAATTAGCATTATTTTTGTCTAGAGTTACAGTAATTGGATAATATGTTTCCCTGCTGAAATTTTTTGAAAAACTAAACTTTTATTGACTTCATCTGGGCCTTCATCCATTAAAAGAGTGAAATCTTCTGATTTCATCTGAAATATATAGAAAATCCTAACAAAAACAGTTCTAGGCAATTTTAAATGTTACTGAAATTTTCTTCTAACTATACATGGAGTATTTAGCTTGGGCAGCTAAACACTGGCATAGCGCTGTACTGTACGATGTTCATATTGTAAGAGAAGCTGTTAAGTGTCTCTATATTTAGCTTGTCTATCATTTTAATTATGCAGAGCTTATTCAACCTTCATTTATTGATATTAATAACTACATCTCATGTTTTGGAGAGAACAGTGTGAAAGAAGTTCATGAGTAGTACAGTGCTAAAAAAAAAAAAAAAAAAAAAGCCAACATCTGTCTCATCTCATATTGCATTCGTCAGGAAAGTTATATACAGCTTCCAAAGTCAATGGCTATTCTAGAAAACTTGTCCCAAGCTGCCACAGGAAAACAGATTCTGGTTTTGAACTGCCAGAGGAGCTCCAATGACAGCTGAAGGGAAGCATTCTCTGTGGGTTGGTTGTGTTGTCAACTTGAAATGTATTTCTGACTTTCAAGTACTTGGTTATGAAACAAAAACAATATTTTATAATATTTAGGGAAAAGAGAGTGAGGACTGATGCATAACTGTTTTTTTTTGTGATGACTTTTGTGTTACAGCCTCTCGTGACTTAAATGGTCTATCAAATTGTGCTTCTAAAATTTTAATATCAATCACATATTGTCTGTCTCTATAATAACATAGAACCCATGTTTATATTTTCATAGAAAGTGTCTGTAGAGAAGTTAATATCAGGAAATCAATAACTCAATCTCTATATACTTAAGTGTATTCAATAATTAATCTTTTCTTTTTACAGTGAACTTATCCTGTCTAGCATTGATATTAATGCATCTGGAGATTGGGAGTGTCTAGTCAACAATTCCTATGGAAATAGCACTAAACATGTAGAAATTGTGGTACTGGAAATGGCTGCACCCTACTGCCCTGCAGAAAGAGTTATTAACAACAAGGGAGATTTCAGGTATGAATTCCTGGTTTTAAGTGTGTTGATATCGATATGGGCAATATCCATGTTTACATGATGCTTCAGAGTCAGGTACAAACATGTCACTTATTTTTTTTGTCATTTTCATGGAATAGAGTAGGAAGGAAGAGCACTGTGTGATTATTATGGGAAATGACAGATAGTGTTTGAAGAATGACAGTGTTTTGTAAAAGTCTGAGAATCCTTCTAATTCCTCAGTGCAAGCTTACAGAAAATTTCAGAAGGTGTAGGACCTTCACAGCTAAATGGATGAGGGTTAATAATTTCTGAATTATAGAATATAATAACACTACATTAATGCATTAGAAGTTTAAATCTTCAGTACTTTCTTAATCTATTCCAGTTCTGCTACTTTTGTTCACATGAGACTAGAAGTAATAAATAATAAAAATAACTGTTAAAAAAAACCTGCTAAAAACAATCAAAATAGTATGTACTACTTGGTAAAACAAGTAGATCATTAGAGGTGAGCCTAAGGACGCATGCAGTTCTACCATTATATAATATGATTAGAAAGCACATCCATCCTGCTATCTGAATGTTATCCTCTGCACAGTATTGTTGACTAAATGCAGTTTTTGTTTCATCTCAGTTTTACCACCATATGTTAGTGGGGTTTGTTTTTGTTAGTAACCCCTCCCCCCCTTCTCACCCACCCCCCAAACTGTAAAATTTAGCAGTTTTCAATTGGTTCTAAAATACTTCAGTGATATGCATAAAGCTCTTAAACAAAATATTATTACTTACTTGACAATAACACTGATGTACGATGGCATTCCCATTGAGAAATCAGGAAGGTAATTTGTTACCATGTGAATTATAATAAGAATTCAACTTGAATAGTTAATTAAGGGAAAAGAAGCTGAGAGAGGAAGCTTCTCTTAAACACTAGAACTTTCTACACATACTTCTGACTTGAATACCTCTCTTCAATTTTAATACTTCAAATTAGGTCTTTTATAAAAATATATACATTCTATCAGACAATACATACTGAATATTTTTGATGACATCTTTATGAAGTGCATGTTCTTTCCATACAGTTACATCCTTTTCTTAATAAATATATAAATCCTACAGACTGCACAGACTAACACAGGAGCATTTTTGTCATTTTATATAAATCAAAAGAATAGAAGTGCCCTTTCCCTATTGATCACTTTTCCAGAAGTCTATATACATTTATTTTTAAGATGTATACTTAAAGGGTGATGAGCCCATAAATTCCTTTGGCATTTGAGAGAAATGTATTTAGAATTATAGAGAATTTATCAGTCTCTAACCTAGCATGAGTACCTGAAACTATTCCAAAAGTCTATCCTCAGACATGCAGTTATCTCACCAGTAATTTTTCTTAGAAAGGTCTTTGAAGTTTTCATAACATAGCAAGCATGTAAGTAAAAAGAGTTGTATCACAAAAGCAAAGCTGGAAAGAACAGTTCCTTTATTGAGGAAAGAATGAAAAAATCATCAGCAATTTTGGAAGCATCGTTCTTTCAGTTCACCAGCCTAGGTGGTATTTATAATTGCACAACTGCCATCAGAATTAGGCACTGTGAGTCGCATTGAACTGGCTTTAAGTAATCAGAATTTTTCTCTATGGTGGCCATATTTGCTGATATTTTGTTTTACGGCTAACTATAAGATAATCCTGAAATGCAAAGTATAATGTATAGTGTAATGTAATGTTACAATTTCTAAGCATAAAGACCAGATTCTGCCACCTGTGTTAAGTGTCAGTGTGCTTTAGTTTCAGAATAGTCTTTTCAGTTTTACCTTTTGAGGTAGGGTGTTACTCTGTGGCCCAATTGTATTAATGCTGTTATTTCACTAAAATAATATTTCAGTACAGAGGCAAGCGCAGCATATAATAATACTATACATGGATTTTTTGTGTGTGATGATCCTTTCATGTTTCATTTTGCTTCAAATGATTATACATCACATGAATTTCTCTAGTGACAGTTAGCTATGGCACATAAAAATATTTCTCTTCTTACCTTTCCATTTTGAGACTAAGAAAACATACAAACCTAGCCTCAAACCTGTCACTACATTATGTAACAGTGTCAAAATGGATCTGTGTCTTTTAAGTAACAGGAACTAATATGCATGTATGGGCAAAGGTTGTTTATCAAGGTGTGTGTCATTGGCAGGCAAATTTTTTTGTGTGTGTGATCACATCAGTGCAATTAAAGTTAAAACCACATTCTTTCCAGGCATGTTGACTTGATGGCACACTTACAGTTTTGTCTGATTTTTCTGCATTATCTAATCTTGCTACAGCCATATTAGCCTGAAAATCACCATGGATTTGTACAGAAAGGAATAGATTACAGTTGTGTGGTTAAAGAGAATGCAGCAGATATACAAAAGATTAGTATTCCAATGTAGGCCCCTGAAGTAAATAGAACAATTCTGGCTCCTCTTGACTTTTTCTTTTAAAAAACAATTTAGCCATCATAGTTGATAAATCTCATATACTAAATACTTAATTTTTGAGATCTAGCTCCTTCTTCCTCCACAAGACATACCCTCTGCTCAGACCATATCTATTGGCTTCTGATATATCCAGGAATTTTTGCTTCTTTAAGCTTTGGGGCAGAAACGGCTATGAGCTTTAGGTCAAAATGAAAAGTACAGATTGCCATCTTTATTTTGAGCCTTTACCTTTTGCAACATTTAGTAATAGTTTTCTTCTTGATGAGTTTCTGCTGTGCCTTACGTAATCTTCATAGGTAAAAGTAGGGAAAATTCCATTCATTTCTTTTTCTTTAACACCAAACACCTTCCTAGAATTAATGTACAATTAATGTGTGACTAGCCAGACTCAAGCCTGTATTATTTCAAGATTTTCATGGAAACATTATAGAACACAATGAGGTAAAATTTAAACGGCCATTTTTTTCCCTCATATATCATGCATACTGTTGCTGTATTGTCAGTTGCCTTTAAATAAGAAGTTTTATATTTTAATTTTTTTGCTTCCCTGCTGTTCACAGATGGCCCAAAACTTTGGCTGGAATCACTGCTTATCATCCTTGTCTGCAGTATTCATTTAACTCCATTGCCTTTCACAATGGTGTAGAAGAGTCTAAGGCATGGCGTAAATGTAATCGAACTGGACGCTGGGATGAAGAAAACTATTCTGAATGTCCTTATTCACAAGAAATAACTCAAGTTCTTCATGCTTTCAGTCAGGTAATGCTGAAATCCATGGCTTCTTTTCTGTAGTACTGATCTTATGGGGTAGCTTGCAAGAAAATATTTGTTCAGCCACAAGTATGGGATAGTTGGCTCTGAATAAAATGTTGACCTTTTATTTATTTTTTTCTTGCAATGGTTTTAGTAATTGATGGTGCGGTAGCAACATGCAGTGCACACTATCTATTGTATTTAATATTTTTCTTTTCTGGGTGTCTGGAGTCTAGATGGCCATTAATAATGTTAGCAGGGTCATCTCTGCTTCACTACAGTTCCTTATTTACCTACCCCCATGCATTTTTACCAGAAAGACATTTATTTCTCTTGAAGTTCTATATTAGGGTTTTGCTGACTGAAGTTTGTTTTCCCACTGCTGTTGTATTTAAAAGAGCTGCAGAAATGAGACCAAAATGTCTTCCTGATATCTTCCAGGGCAAAAACAAATAAACAAGGAAAAAGACCAAACAAACAAACAAAAAACAAAACCCCAAAACAGTTAAACAGTATTCAGTGGTTTCTTGCGGATGGGCCCCTCACTGCAAGAAAGACATTGAGGCCCTGGAGCGTGTTCAGAGAAGGGCAACAAAGCTGGTGAGGGGTCTGGAGCACAGGCCTTATGAGGAGCGGCTGAGGGAGCTGGGATTGTTCAGTCTGGAGAAGAGGAGGCTCAGGGGAGACCTTATTGCTCTCTATAACTACCTGAAGGGAGGTTGTAGCGAGCTGGGGGTCGGCCTCTTCTCTCGTGTAACTGGTGATAGGACTAGAGGGAATGGTTTCAAGCTTCGCCAGGGAAGATTCAGGCTGGATATTAGGAAATACTACTTCTCTGAAAGGGTGGTCAGGCACTGGAATGGGCTGCCCAGGGAGGTGGTGGAGTCACCGACCCTGGAGGTGTTCAAAGAACGTTTGGATGTTGTGCTGAGGGATATGGTTTAATGAGAACCATTGGTGACAGGTGGATGGTTGGACTGGATGATCTTATAGGTCTTTTCCAACCTTAGTGATTCTGTGATTCTGTGATTCTGTGATTCTGTGATAAGTAAAAGAGAGAGTGAGATTTAAAAAAAAAAAAAAAAAAAAGGATATGGGTAGATATGAAAAAAAAGCAATAACAGTGACAGTGAAGAGCATGAAGAATGGTACTGGTCTGTAACTGCCATACTAACTTTTACCACTTTCAGTTTGCTTGATGATTTCTTCCTAATTAATAGCACTAGATGCTAGATTGCTTTGAAGTTTATTCCTATGTTAATAATTACTATGTGAAGAGATCCAATGGAATTACATGATAGTAATTCTGTGTGGAAGAAGGGTCATCTCTAGACTCTAGTAATCCCACCTGCTCAAAGCAAGGTAAGCTACAAGGTTAAGTCAGGTTTCTCAGGGCTTTAACCTCTTAGATTTTTAAAACCTCTGAGAAAGGCTGCACAATGTTCAAATACTTGACTTATTACCCTCACCGTAAAAAAGGTTTTCCTCTTATTCTGTCCAAATTTCTCTTCTTTCAGCATAATACCATTGTCTTCCTTCCCTCCGCCATACTCCACTGTATACATGAACCCTGACTGGCATCACTGTTCTTGTCAGTGATGCAAAAACAAGGAAAATTTTTAAAATATTTTGAGGCCTGTTGGTTCCAGTCTAGAAAAATTAGTCATGCAAAAATTTTCAGTATTTGTTGACATGTGGTGGTGTCTGGAGATGACAGCAATTAAATCTGAGACTTAAGATAAAATGTTCTACTGACATTTATGTGTATAGTACTAACAAGTGAAATAATAGAAAGCATTATACAAATGGATGGGATCTCTAATTTTTAGCAACAAAACAACCAGCTGATTCATCACACCAAGCAATTCTCATGTATTTTCAGATGCACATCAATTTGACGACTGTACTTGAATTTTCCCGCCAACTGACAGCCTACACAAGAGGTGCTTCCCACTTTGCGGATAAAATGGATGTAATATATTTGGCTTATATAATGGAAAAGTTAATTGTCTTCGTGGATGAAGTTGAAGATGTAAGATATCTTCTGTATGCTGAAAGTATCACGTAGAAATGAAGTCTTCACATATGGCCCTGGTCTTAATGTATGCAGGCGCACACTGAAGCTTCTAAAACTGCTTGCCTTCTTTTCAGCCGCAAACGTTCCGCATATGCTGCTGCGTCTTTCTTCATGTCAGACAGCTGAGCCATCTCATCTGACTGACATTATTCCTTGTGTTAAGGAATAAAAATTGTGTTTCAATAAGGCACATCCTTAATTTTCTTTTTCATTTTTATTTTTGCCACAACTAACGTCTAGAATGAACTTGAGGTGCTCCTCAAACTGGCCACTTTTTTGCTTTCATTTCAAAGTTCCTCATTCTTTTATTTTCTCCATTTCATCAGGAGATTTTAATTGAGTTTTGAGAGCATGTAGCAGTTTACATGAAGAGAAGAAAAACGTGCCTTTTAAGTACAAATTTCCACATGAGCTTTTAGCATAATGTATCCCATTTTCACAGGGAAATCTAACAAGAGTTGTGCAAATCCGATGGGAAAAATAGTTCTTTACTGAGAGCAGCAATGTTCACCATAGTTTTTACTGTTAATTTTTAGAGTGACTGCTTTCATAAGATTTCATAACTTGTAATTTTTGTACACGTGATAGCTATCGTTAAAACATGTTTTCTTTGGTTTGGCAACATTCATTCCATTCTTACTCTGGGGATTGTAACAGTTAACATTTTAGTATCAATTTGAGAAAGCCTCCAACTTCAATTTCATCATCATATACTAGATCTAAAGTGTATTATTAAGGGCTCTCTAAGAATCGTGTTTCAAAACTACAATTACAAAAGCCTCTTCGTTCAAAATCCTTTCTGGGGAAAAAAAAAATCCAAAAAGAAATATTTGAATGTATCTATTAAGCCTCTTTATGTTTCTTGTACTAGCAATTGATGCATTATGCATTAAAACTGAGCATCATCTCTGATCTCTTAGTTGATTTGTTCCATCTTTAAAACAGGTTTCATTTTCTGTTTTTTGGTACTGAAACATCTCAATTTCTACCACTTATTTCTACATCTCTTATTTTGTAATCCCTTGTTTTCATAATTTAGAACACTGTCTTCATTTGTCTGTTTCATTCTTTTATTTTGATTTTTTTTTTTTTTTTTTTTGTGATTTATCAAAATAACTTTAAACATCTGTGCCAGAGGAGATGACCCATTGTTGCTGAAATGTACACTCACTGCCTCACAGTGCTCGTATCCACTGTTTGATCTCCATAAATGTCCAGCAGGCTTTGATGAATGTCAGTGGGTGCTATTTTTTCCAGAAGACATATCTTTGCTACATAAACATTCCATATCAGACACCATTTTGTCAGACTGCTCTTCTGCTACCATCCATCAGACAGCAACAAAATGTAATGGAATATTGGCAGAAAGGTTCAACCTGTAATATCATAGCACCAACATCTGCCACTGATATTGTGGACCAACACAATAAAATAGGAGGCATTACTTTTGGAGCAGCTTTTGTACATTTTAATAAAAATTAGTGGTATTTTGACTCATCTTGGATTCATCTCTCAAAGCATCAACTGCTTTGAGAGTTACCATGTTATGTTACCATAAATATGTACATATATTAGCCCCAAACTTTGTATTTTTAGTGTTATGCCTTTATTCTTCAATGATACATTTAATTATAACACAAATTAATACATCTTCTTATTTCTCACCTTTTTTATATTTATAGCCAATTATTCTGCCCTCAGTTAATTGCTGCTTGCCTTATTAGTGCGTAGTTTAATCTTTTTGCATAAATCAGTCTTTAAATGTGTTTTATTATTATTCATTGTATCAATAACTATTTGTCACATTGTCACATCCATCTACAATTACATAATAATCACATGCTCAAAAATACTTTAAATATATCAGGAATAGTTGCATACAATGTCTGATTATTTATCTCTCTTTTGCAATGCATATGAAATGTATTGGAAATACAGAAAAATCTTCATAGCTTGTTCTTCCTTAAACATTTTTCTCTATTGCTGAATTTCTTTTTACATTCCACTGAATTATCTGTGTATTTGCATTATTTTTGTTCCTAACAGTTTGACATCTTAGCCTCTTAAGGTTTTTTTAAGTTGTGTTTCTCTCTTGGTCATTTTTTCTGTATTCAAGTGATACCCTTATGTACCTTTGGCAAGTCTTTCTTTCTCAGGAAATCACAAACCTTCAAAAATAATGGTAAACTTAGTTTTGAAATCTTACTCAAAAATAAGTTTTAAAATTTTAGGAAGTAAATATTTTAATTTTTAATTGAAAGCATCACCAAAAATACTCACAGTGAAGGTTACTCTTTCTAAATTGAGTAAGCTCATAAGATTTTGAAAAACAACGTCACACTTACTAAAAACTCCAAAATGTCATCTGATAAAGGCTGGGATTTATCAAAAGGAATTAGTCACAAGAGTAAATTAAACCACACAAAACTATAAGCCCATACTTTCTGTATAGCCAGTGAAATATTACAGGTTTGTATTAACACTTCAGTTATATCTCAAATTTGCACTTCTAAGTCTGTAACAGGAATTTATTCCTAATAAATTCTTTCTCCCCCACAAGGTTCTTCTATTAACTATAACACAGTTTTTAGAGGGTCATGGCCAATTTTTAATTGTTTAAAAAAGAGGTTAATAATTCTGGAATTCTGTTAATTACCCAATGAGAGACTCCCCTTTTTTTTTTTTTTTTTTTTTTTTTTTTTTGTGGTGTGTCTTGTAGATAGACTTAAAAATTGTAAACTAATACCTCTTTTTTTCTAGGTTGTAGCAGTTTTATTTACTTGGTATTTATATTTCTGTAGATCTAATTTTCTTAACAGAATGAAAAGTATATTTGAATAATGGTTACTAAGAGAAATAAATTCCTGTTCTTAGTTGTTTTCTTGCATACTTACTTCCTATTGTTGTATTTTGCGGAAAATACTTGTTTGGTTTTTAATTTTCAGATAGGGGATGCTCTCATTGAAATTGCCAGCAATATAATGTCTGTTGATGACCATGTGTTGTGGATGGCTCAAAAGGAAGACAAAGCCTGCACCAGAATTGTGCAGTGTGTGGAACACATTGCAAATCAAATACTGACCAGCAACATTCAAGTTATTTCAAAGGTATTTCATAAAATCACAAAGCACTTCTGTCAAAATTTATTTTTAAAATGTTTTCTTCATAATTTTTATTTCTAAATTGTACATAAAGAAGAAAAAAATTGTATAAACCAGATACACAGCATAGCATAGAAATTTGCATAGACATACTTGGATTATGTAGAATTTTTTTTTCCTGGATTCTGTTTGGAACACTGAAACATTTTTCTGAGAATCTCTGATGATAGTAAGAATAATTTTGCTTGGCTTTGCTTTTTTATATTTATGATTACAATAGACCGTTCACAACACCGTATTTCTAGTTTTCCTAACACTTAGTTCCTGTAGTATTTGGATTTATTTTTGAAAAGGATGCATTGAGTGAGAAATTTATAATAATAAAAAAACAGCACACTCCATTATTACCTAAAGATCTTAATATACCTTTCAGGGAGGCGTCTAGACAACACTTTGTAAAGCAGTTAGAAAATATTCTAAAAAGATGTCATAAAGGTTATTAATTCGCAGTCAGTGTTATTTTAGAAGCAAGCTATAGCAGTATGAAATAATTGTTCTTAGTTCTTGTTCTCCACCTACATGAATTTGTCATTTGTATACTAAGGAGTTGTCATTTGGGTATTGAGAAACTGTCTTTGTCACTTTCAACATCTAAGTGGTAGAAATGTGTAGAAGTTAGAAAGGCTTGAAAATTATATTTATAGAATTTTAGATAAATATTTCAAAGCCTTATTACTCTATAGGTTAGCTTTCTTGATTTTAAGCAACCTTTATTATTTTGTCAATGATACTGCATAGAAGTGAAATCAGCGTTAGCTTCAATTAGGGCAAAAATGTATTAAAAAAAAAATGGAAAAAAGGAATTGTGGATTGAGTTGAATTAATTACATTCTGAGCTGAACAGCATAATGACCTTAGTACCCTTGCTGTATAATTTTAGTAAAGCGTAGTATTCTTCTTCTTGAAGAATAAACTGACAAAACTTATTGTTTTTTTTATTTAATTCTCTTTTACATAAAATGATCAAATTTGCTAGAATCGTTTATTTTTATACAGTATATAGAGACAATAATTTGCTTTTTTGAAGTATTTTGTAATGTGACAGCTAGGGGGCTTCTGTTGCTTTATACTTAAGGTATCTTTTAAATGTCAACTGCCAAAGGTCTTTTTTTTTTTTTAGTCACTGCTTCAGAAGGAAGTTGACATTACTGTAAACAGTAATGTTCTGTACTGACATATAGATCTGAGTCTCTAGCCTTTCTACCATGCCTTATATTTTTTGCTTCTTGCAGTTTTCTGAAGGAGAATTAGTTTATGGTTGAGTGCAATTTGTAAATAAACAAAGCTGTGGAGTTTTTCTTTTTGTCATCTCATACAATGCCAAACACGTCTGTTCTTTCTGGAGGCCAGCCAGAAAACTCTATGCAGAAATGGCATCTTCTTTCATCTCTTTTTCTATTTTTCTTTTCTTTTCTTTTTTTCTTTCAAACAACAGCATGTAAAACCCCCAAACCTTAAGTAACCACTGGTCTATAAAACACTTTCTGAAAAAAAAAATGGGCCTTGATAAATTCTGTTAGTTTTACAACACATGCACAACTGCATTCCCTATAGACTGAAAAGCTAACTGGAAGCCGTGGCTTTTGCTGTTATTTCTATGTTATTTTTGGAAGACAAAAAAGGTTTTCCATTTCGTGGAGGTCAGAAAAATGCCAAGATGGAAATCATCAGTTAGATCTTCTTAAATCTCTCTTGCAAAACATACTGTAGATACACCCTGGGGGATGGAAACCCCCACAGAGGTCCTGTGCACAGCCAGCAAGGTGTAATCCCAAATTAATTTCCCTTCAGTATTGTTCTGAGCTACTTTACTTCTGCTCATATTTTTGTGTTTTCTTATGCCAGATCTGCAGTTTGAGGAGAAAGACTTCCTGTGGATGATAAAACTTGTCTCCTTAGTCCTGTCAGGGGTGTGCAGCAGTCTTTAAGACTGATAGATTGACTTGGCTTAGAAGAGACCTTAAACCCCTCCCAGATCTATCCTCCGCCGTGGTCTGGGTACCACCCACCAGATCAGGGGCTGGGGCCCCATCCAGCCCAGCCTTGAACACCTCCAGGGATGGGGCACCAAAGATTCTCTGTGCCACAGGCCTCTGACTGTGACCATCCAACCAATTCCTTATCAATCAAATAGTCCATCCACCATCTCTCTCCAATCCATATCTATCCAATTTAGAGATGAGGTTTCTGTGTGGACCAGCTCCTGGAGTTTTCATTTCACTCTCCACCTGATAAAAGCCAGAATATTTAAGGCTAATTGCAATATAGTTGTTGTTTTTATTTTTATTCTTCTCCACTTCATACTATTCTCATATTACCCCTTTAAGGACCCTTTTTGGCCATTTTGCTTAGTGAGGCCTTTATGTGAGGTTTAGAAAATGGACTCCACACTGTCATTTTCTATATCTGCAACTCAAAATGATTAGCTCGTGGTTTTTTGTAACATGTACCTTTCTTACAGATGCTTGTTTCCATGGATAATTTTGCTCTGCATTCATCTATATCCATTTCATAATTCATTTGAGAGTCCTAATAAGGAGCAGCTTCAACTTCTATTTTACCCGTCTGTTCCTATATGCTGAGAACAGTGTGTTCACACTATTTAAACATTGCCATAGGATTATTTTGAAAATGGAAAGATTAACGTTTAAAGAATTTTGTATTCGGAATTTAGAAAATAGGGCTTACTTGTGAAATCATTTGAACTGTCACTACAATATCCTCCAGCTGACATTTTCTTATCATCGTCTCACAAATATGAATGAGGAAACTAGTTCTATTTCCATCCTACAGCAGGAAGCTTGAAGTTCTAAATAATTAAATGGCTCTAGCCAGGGATTTAGAAATGCATTACCACAAAGAAGTTTTAACTGAGACATGTAGCTTGATTCTGGTAATATGGATAATAGTACTATGCAAACATGATAATGGAACATGATCTGTGAAAGACAATCAGGAATCATTCAATCCATCCAACAAATAGCTAAGCATCTTTCCATTTCATTTCTAAGGCACAGAACACATCCTTGTCCATTTTAAAAATAATTCCGACTACTGCTGTTGCTAATTGACTTCATATCTGTATTGCTTTAGATCAAGATTAGATCTGTTGAAGCTGACAATGGAACAGTTGCAAAACTGGTAGAAATTGAGAAATAAAGGCATTTTAAAATTATTTATTCATTGTCTCATCATCTCTTTTTACTTGTATCTAAGAAGTTTTCAAACAATCTGTCTGTACTGTTGTAGAGTTCTATATCAGTTTTTAAAAATAAGTTCCATTTTTTTTCTTACTCATACACATTATGTATGGAAGCATGTACAAACACAGTCTTTATAAACTATGTACAATAAATACACAATAGACGTATAATTATATGTAATTAAGTGTAATGAATTAGCAATATCTCTGCTTCTCAATATGCTTTGACAGGTATCTCATAATATTGCTCTGGAGGCCTTTATGATCAAGCCGTCTAATTTCATGGGAATGACTTGCACTGCCTTCCAAAAAATACCTGCAAATGTTGACAAATCAGTTGTACATGATTTGGGAAGCTGGGAAGCAGATCCCCGTTCTGATCAACATTTGAATTTCAAGTGCAACACTGGCAATCTGAATGGTTCCTTGTTGAATTCTTCTACCAGGGTAAGTCAGTGCAATCACAGATACAACTTAAATTTTTCAATCTGGATAGTAATTTCAATATTTAAGTTGTAGTATGTTGGGTATTTTGTTGTTCTAACATATCCTATATTAATAATGCAGAATGTGAATAGAAATAAGTAAATGTTTTGTTCTTTCTGTCTCTGGGTCTAGTTCTCAAAACATTTCCATGTGTAACCAAGTTATTTGGAGTAATTTGGCGGTATTTGTTGTAGTGAGGTGCAATCTGGATTTTACGTTTCAGAAATTTTCAGACTAATAAGTCAGTGGAAATTATCTTTACATCCACTAAACAGTATTACATTCTCTTTTCTCTGAACTTTATACAGAGGGAGGGTGCTACATTGCAGTTTCTGAGTAGTAGTCCAAGAAACACAATAATAAGACTGTTAATAGAACACACTGTTAATATCAAATAATGAAGTGGAACAATTAAATTTTGATCTAGTAGGAAATGGAATTTTGCATTTGGCTGAGCATGTTATTAAATTTAAGTATTGCAGAGTTGAATTTTTGTTATCCTTCAGCTGAATCTCAGTTTAATAGCCTTATTTCTTGAAATACTTAATATGACAAAATGATACTTTTCTGGATAATACTACCAGTTTATTGAACTTTGAAAGTATTTTGATTGAAGTTATTTTCTCTTTGGTGCATTTTAATCTTCTGTATGGGTTAGGGAGATATGTGGCAGTAGCTTGTGCTCTGTTAAAAGAGGCCATCTTAATAATACAAGAAGAGGCAGCATTTTTTTTTTTCCCCACAATGGAGTTAATTTCCTCTGCGGACACTGTTAACTTGTCTGTCTAGGATGACCTAGACAATTGTCTGAAAAGAGGAGATTGACATTTATAAGATGAAAACCAAATGTCAGAGATCTAAATCCTAAAACAGAGAGCTGAATCTAAAACATACATAAGGGAAACTCTACTGTCTGCACGAAAGAAGATTACCTAGAACTATGCAAAGCAATTTTAAAGTATAGAATATATATCCTGTGAGAAGTGATGTTATTATCATGTTAGATCACTAGATCAATCTCATGTCTGAATTTTCAACAACACACTGCAGAAGATTCAGATGTTAGTTTCATGGCCATAAGACCAAAATTTACTTAGGTTGTAACGTAATATGTGAATCCTGTGAAAAGCAAGAAGCTTCCATTCATTGTTCTCTGAATCTTTTAAGCTAAGCACTCCTTTAACTCATTCTGAAATGAACTGTATTCCTTCTGTTATTTTCTTCACTGTTTATTTAATAGAACAAATTGTAAAAGTAATTGATAACAGAAAATAGAATCCTTTGTCATTATCCTAAGCCACATTAATTCTTTATTTTCTCTGTGGAGGCATACAGTAAACCCACTTCATAGTGCTGCATAAAATTCAGGAAAATAGAGTTTGTGGTGGAGGTGGGAGTTGCTGGTTTTCAAAGTTTAGTCACTGTGTTTTAAAGTACTCATTACTCTGACTACTTAGAACTTCATTTTAGATGATGAACTTATTCTTAGAATCTTTCTCTACTTAGCATAGGATTAATCATAAAGAAGGAAAAAAATCTAATGAAAATTCCTAAGTACAAATGATAATTACAACTTTAATTTACTTCTAATAAAAGCATAAAAGGTTGTCCTTAAAGTGCTCATTGAATCAGAAGGTTTACACTGTTTTATAATAAAAACTTTATATTTCTTCAAATGCATAACTGTGTAAGTCATCTGCTCATAAGTATAAACAGTTGTTTATGACATTGGTCTGTTGATAGCCAGTTCTACTAATGAATTAGAAAAACTGTACATTCATGAAGTAGTTTGTGGAAAGTTGATGGGAGAGGACTAAGGCAATCACAAGCTCTCTAAATAACACATCAGATTTTCTGTAGTTTGCCTATACTGATATTTTCAGGCACCAGTAGGAAATTGATACAAATGTAGTAAGTAGTTGTCTGTTAGTTGTTTAACCTGATCTGCTTATTATGAAATACAGAGCCCCCAAAAGGAAATGAAATACTGAAGGAAAAAATAAAATTAACAAGAATAATTGAAAATTAAATAATTTAAAAGGTACTGAAAGAGATTTTTAAAACTTTGGGAGAAAAATCTTAAAATATGCGTATATCAACTTGTGTTTCAAATATGTGGAAAGTCCTTTATAGACTAACTTGCAGTGTTTAAAAATACTCTAAGGCAAAATATTTCAATGTGATGCACAGATTTTTATCTTTCAATCTCATTTTGACTCTGCAGTCACTAAGCAATCTGAAAGACTGAAAGAAATTATCGCTATTACAGATCAAAAGTTTTGCTGTTGTAGAACTTAGGCCCAGTTGCTTTGTCTTAAATCTCATTCCTGCTGTTAGAAGTAGACATTTTTCATTGCCTGACTCAACTCTATTGGATGAAAAAATATGGCTCAGTTATATGTTCCTGTTTTATGATACAATGGCTTGTATTTTGACACAGTGTATGTTTTGATCCTGGTTAAATAGGCCTAAGGGTGTCTTTCCAGCCTGCCTAGTTTGAGCTCATGTTAGAGGAGTGCTACTAATACACTGCCCTATAGCCTGACTGTGCTGTAGGGATATCACAGTACTGATATGTGAATACAAGGCTACTGTAACACTTGAACTCAGACAATGTGAAAACAGTTTAGTGCTATTGAATATGAGTCTGGTGTCTGATTCCCATTTGATAGATAGTAGTCTGAACCTAATCTCTGTTCTATCCTGATTCTATAAACTATCTCCAGTGTGTAAAGATATCAGTTATACAGTTAATTCTTTCTTCTACCTCACTGAAATTACATTAAAATGAATTGTTTAAATGTCCTGCCTATCACAATTAAACATGAGGTTTATAGATGACTGGAAACTCAGTATTCACTCTTGGACTTTTAAGAAAATGTTTTATTAACATAATTCATGGTTTCAGCGTCACTGTAAACACTTGTTAAATGAGTAAATATTGTTCATTTCTCTCTAGTTTCATTGGTTGTTCATTTCATGCAGGACTGAGTTCAAGGGAGCAACAATAATCTTATCTTCCCATGTAATCACTGATTTCTGAAATTCAAATTCCACTTAAATATGCTCAATATATTTCATTTTACTATTACATTTTATTTAGTCTTTATATTTTTATGAGCCAGACAGGCCTTTTGATTTATCAGATTGCATTGCAGGTGATGCCCATATGCTAAAACATTAGAAGTTGGTGTTACCATTGATAGTAGGCATACTAATAATGAAGAAAAATTCGAAAGTGCTTTGACAAAATTGTTTGATCACTTACTTATATAACTTTCAGTCATTATACAATTATAGAAATATTTTTTCATAGTTGTAATCATAAGATGTAAAAAAAAAAAAAAAAAAAAAGCTTTTTTCTTGCATAAAGTCAATTTGAATATCAAAACATACAGATAATGTAAAAATTTATAGTACATTCATATATAAAATTTGGCAGGATTTCAGAAAAGGACTCGATGCAAGGGTTTCTACTACCATCCACTACTTTGATTAGGATAAAGCACAAAAAATCCCAAAGAGAAACTATGAAGGGAAAAGTTATAAGCTGCATATGACCTGCTTTCTAATTGGCCTTTTAATAAAAGTGCCTTTCACTGCAACTCAGTGTATGTGAAATGCTCCTAATCTTTATAGATAATTAATTATATCAATTTAGAAGCTTTCTAGCAGGCTGTGCAATAATTAACTTACTCATTAAGGCAAAAGCTAATTCTTATGTAAATAATAATTACAATTTATACTGGAAGTTTCTAAGGCAGTGTTAGATGTGCTGTTTACCCAGTTATAGGTTCCAAAATGGTTTCTATGTTACTACTACATAAACAGGTAGTTCTGACTTTAAGATTTGAAAAATACCTCATATCTTTTCATTAACAGAGGTTTATGTGTATTCTAATTACCTGTGAATCTGTTTACGTGAAGTACTTTCTTTCTTCCTGCTACCTTGATTGAGTTGCTTATCCATTAAACATACATTTTGCAGAATGCATATACAGTATTTTTCAGGGCAAATGAAAAAGATCAGCTGAGGAAAGAAAGAAATGTGTCAAATTAGTGAACTCAAAATGTAATGCAAAATGAAAATATTTCCAGCAACTTTCGCAGGAGTTGGCTATTTTAAATCAATTTTTCTGATCCAATCAGTCAGATTAACTGTTCACCCAGTCCTGATATTTCTTCATTCATTTCTACACTAAAAAAAAAGAAAAAAAAAGAAAAAAAAAAAAAAAAAGAGTATAAATGTTTCCAGTCTTTTATTGAGAAGATTCACATAGCAACGTTGTATAGCCACATACATCATATTAACAAAGTATTAGCTAAGGCCAATACCCAACAAAATACTACTCTACTACCTACAATAAAATTAGGTCACTAGGATAATTTTGTATTTCTTCTTCTAGAGTACAACAGATATTGTCTTATGTGGAGTATGAATGTGTTGGCATCACCATTTCTGTCATGATTTCTTCTAATTACTCAGCATGCATCATTTGTTAGAGAGTATTACAGCACCTCTATCACCAAACATTGCAAACTTTGATTATATCTGTACAACATAGATTGCTACATGATTATCATTTTCTTTTTTTTTCTGAATCTGTAGCTTTTATGACTGCAGAAATAAACAAAATGTGCCAAGTAAAGCAGTAAGCCAGGAAAAAAAAAAATCCCACCTAGTTTCTCAGTTTACATATACTGAATATTACAGTGATGCAGTGGGCTCAGTACCAATAAACACAACATCATAACTTATTTTGGTTTCAAAGCATTTTTTCTCCAAGTGTCGTAAAACATGTCATCATTATGATCAGGTCAAGACTCTTCATATTACATACCATAATTTTTCCTGTTCCTTTTCTTTTGGGAATTATCTATTTTTTCCCATTTTCTTCTTTACCTGCTCCTTTCTTTTTGTTTCTTAGAACTCAAAACATTTTGCTCTTCTTTTTATTGAGTACTGACACTAATTTGTGTATTTGCTCTAGGAACTTCAGGGAGAGTTT